TCTCTCTCTCCCTCCCTCTTCCTCTCTAAAATCAATAAAAATATATTTTTTTTAAAAAGAAAAGAAAAAGAAAAAATTATGTTAGCCCTGGCTGGTTTTTCTCAGTGGTTAGAGCATCAGCCTGTGCACCAAAGGGTTGAGGGTTCGATTCCCAGTCAAGGGCATGTACCTTGGTTGCAGGTTCAATCTCTGGCCCCAGCTGGGGTATGTGCAGGAGGCAACCAATCTATGTGTCTCTCTCACATCTATGTTGCTCTCTCCCTCTCTCTTTTTCCCCCTCCCACCTCCCCCTGCCCTCCTCACTCTCTAAAAATCAACAGAAAAATATCCTCAGGTGAGGATAAAAAAAAAAATGATAAAAAGGAAAAAATTATGTTGCCTCTTAGAGAAATTAAAAGCAAGTGTCCAGCCTGATCAGAAGGGAATGACTGGTTGTGCAGAGACCTTGGCGTGAGGCAGCGGCCGGGTTCTGCAGGCCAGTCCTGAGTTGGCTGCAAGAGATCTCTTACCTTCACTGTTCTTTGCGAAGTTCAGTTTAATCAGGGACCGCCCGTCCAGTTTCTGGAAGAAGTAGAATTCATAATTAATAATAAGTGGCTGATATGAAGAACTGCTGAGGCTAGAGGACACAGACAGACTGGAAGAGTCTGACCATCCAAGCCGTCAGACAAGGAAAAGGCACAGGTGCTGACCTAGTGGCCCCAGGACACAGGGATTAACCTAGATAAGGGGGCTGCACAGTGGAAGCCCAGCCTCTGAGCCAGCAAAGCGGCCCCCAGCAAAGGGGTTGACATCCAGCCTGGAGGCCGGGCCTGAGGGGCAGGTTTGTTTATACTGTGATGTTTAGACAGTTTCATGGCAAGCACAGATTATTTCTGAAATTGAATTATTTTGGCTTGGCCAGTGTTCTCAGTGGTTAGAGCGTTGGCCCCTACACCAAAGGGTCATGGGTTCGTTCCCAGTCAAGAGCACGTACCTGGGTTGCAGGTCTGATCCCCGGCCCTGATTGGGGCGTGGGCAGGAGGCAACCAATCTATGTGTCTCTCTCACATTGATGTTTCTTTCTGTCTCCCCTTCCTCTCTTCTTCCCTGCCAGTCTCTCTAATAATCAATGGAGAAAAAAATATCCTTGGGTGAGGATTAAAAAAACACAAATGTTGGTGTGTTTTTCAGCTGAGTGGTGTTCACCTTATTCTTCTGTTGTGTAACTATTTAAGAAAAATAAAGTATTTTAAAAAGTAGGGGAAAAGGAATAAATATACCCAAATGCTAAGAGCAGTTGTGATGGGATCCTCTATTTTTGTTTAATCCTCACCCAGGATATGTCTATTGATTCTACAGAGAGAGAGAAACATCCACCAGCTGCCTCCCACACATGCCCTGATCAGGGACCAAACCCCAAACCTTCCTGGTGTATGGGACGGCACTCCAACCAACTGAACCACCCAGGCCCGGCGGGATGCTCCATTTTTTAGCATTTCTGTGTGTCTACAGTTTGCCCCTTCTACAGGAAACTTCACAATAAAACAAAGTCCAGGCAGCCAGAGGAAAGCAGCAGCCCTGGGGGGTGGGCCTCAGCTGGGGCACTGAAGGGGGCTGTGGAGAGACCCTGGAACAGACAGGTAAAGCTGCCCCTTGGGAGCACCTGACTCAGGGCTCACGTCCCTGTAGCCCCTGCCACCCAGGTGGGGTGGGCCCCGCCCTGCTACCCAGGGCCCAAAGAAGACGCTGGGTGGGTGTTCCAGGACTGGGCCTCTGAGCCAAGCTCCAACCCTGTGTCCTCCCTCTCCTACAGTGGCCAGTCCACCAGCCACACACCTGGCTTCATGCCTTCCTCTTCTATTCAACTACTCCCACACACCTGTGCAGGTGAGCATTAGACTCCAGGACAGATGATGGGGTGCTTGCTGCAAGGCTGCTCCCACCAGATAAGATAGCCCTTCTCACTTGGCCAGCATGGCTCAGTGGTTGAGTGCCAACCCAGGAATCAAGAAGTTGCTGGTTCAATTCCTGGTCAGGGCACATGCCTGGGTTGTGGGCTCCATCCCCCAGTAGGGGGCATGCTGGAGGCAGCCATTCGATGATGTTCCTCTCTCATTGATGTTTCTACCTGTCTATCGCTCCCCCTATAAAAATCAATAAAAACAGCCCTAGCTGCTTTGGCTCAGTGGATAGTGTCAGCTTGCGCACTGAAGGGTCCCAGGTTCGATTCTGGTCAAGGGCACATGCCAGGGTTACAGGCTCGATTTCCAGTAGAGGGCATGCAGGAGGCAGCCAATCAATGATTCTCTCTCATCAATGATGTTTCTATCTCTCTCTCCCTTCTCACTTCCTCTCTGAAATTAATAAAAATATATTTTAAAAATCAATTAAAACACAAAAAATAAAAAGGTACAATTCTGGAAAGAAATTTGCCAGTAGCTACCAAAACAGAATATGCTTCCACCCCATGACCCAGCAGTCCCAGGACGACAGTCATGTGTATGCCCAAAGAAGCATGCACCAGGGTGGCCCTGACCACTGTTTGCAACAGCAGGTGACTTCAGATCCCTGCAGTACCCCCCACGAGGGCACACACAGCCACCACAGAACAAGGCAGGGCTTTATGCTCTGACACACTCGGATCCCCAACACACTGCGGGATGCGAAAGCAAGGTACAGAGGAATTCACGCCTAAGAGAGCACCCATGGCCCAAGGAAAGATGTACATCTGTACACACGTGTGTGCGTGTAGGAAACATTTCTGGAAAGGAATGTGTGTACAGAGAGAAGCACAGTCCCTCACTGTGCCCCACCAATCGTCCTCTACTGCACCTGCGTGTATATGAAAACCACAGAATCAAAGGACAGGCGATAGCAGCGTTCACTGGCATCACTTAAACTCCTGCACGACCCTTACCTCGCCGTTGCTGGGGTTGGTCCCGTACTTCTTAAGCCAAGGAAGGATGTTCCTGAAGGGAAGAGAACAAAGAGCATCAGCGTGATTGGCAGGTACAGCACAGCCAGGAGGCTGCCTCTGGGACAGCTGCAAAGGGCCTTTGCTCTGTTCACTTCTGGGGCAGAAGCCAAAGAGAGGGGCGCCTTGCCTCATCAAAGGAAGCAGGGGCTATTTCTGGAAACGTGGTTCAGAGTATATTCAGGGTTTTTACTGCAGTTATATATAAACAACACAAACTAGCAAACAAAGATGTACACAAATGTTGATACGTCCATAAAATGAGATACTGGACCATCATCAAAATTATAATTTCCAGAGAATTCTTAATGACATGGGGGAAAATGACTGAGTAAAGAATGGATCTAGAACTACCTTCATGGTATTATCTCAACCATGTTACCACAATAAACGCACAGAAAAAGATGAGTATAGCCCTGACTAGTTTGGCTCAGTGGTTAGAGCGTCGGCCTGTGGACTGAAGGGTCCCGGGTTCGATTCCAGTCAGGGGCATGTGCCTTGGTTGCAGGCACATCCCTAGTGGGGGGTGTGCAAGAGGCAGCTGATGGATGTTTCTCTCTCATGAATGTTTCTAACTCTCTATCCCTCTCCCTTCCTCTATAAAAAATCAATATATTTTTTTTTTAAAAAAATAAGATGAGTATAAATACTGACAGTGGTTACCCCAGATAGTGTGATTATGGTAAATTTTTCCTTTGAAATGTTTTACAATTTTTATAAAATAAGTCTGAAATGTGAGAAAAGTATATAAGCTGGCTTATGTTGGAACCTAAGACTGAGCATAATGCTTCAAAACACAGCACTGAAAAGTATGCACCCTAATTATGACTTTCATAAAGTGAAAAAGTTTAGTTCATTAACATTCCAAAACAAGTACACAAGTGGCAACTAGAACACTGGGACCTCACTTGGGGGGAGGGAGGGGTGTCAATGCCACTCCAGGAAGACAGTAGCACCTGCCAACAAGGCTGCCTGCCAGGGGTCACAGCAGCATTGCTGCTTCATCTCTGAGGCCCTGGCAGTCCCTCCTGGGTCCCCAAGAGACCTGCCCAGGACCCCCGAAGCCCCAGGACCTCAGCGTGGCCTGGCTTGCACTGCCTGGAACCATTAACCCTCCAGCTGGCCCCACATCCCCTACCTGAGCAGATATCAACAACCTCACCCCGTTTGTTAGCTCAAAAGTCAAGGGAGAACTCACAGCAAGTCAAAGACGACGCCTTCAGGGGTGCAGACCGGGTAGCTGAAGGGCTGCAGAGAGAGACTGAGAAAGAACATGGTCACTCCTGGTCATGCAATGGACTGACCGGGCCACTCCCACATGGCTCCTGTGACTTCTTCCTTTGCCTCTCCCTCCTTCGGTCATTCCTCCAACAACTCGGGTGCTCCTCTGCACAGCCTACGATAGGTGCCAGCACAGAGGGGACCCCCACATCTCTGCCCTTCAGAAGCTCCCAGCAAAACCAGTAAGTACAAAGCAAGGATTTCAGGAGTTGAGGAGAGGGTTTAGGGACAACTGCAGCCTAGTCCTCTCCACACCCTGTGCTGTGGTATGTAATACACATGTGACCATCATGTTCTAGCCCAAAGCTCACTGGGGGTGGCCTGGGAGAGGCAGGACTGGAATTCGCTCTCCAAAACCTCACGTAACAGGCATAGGCAGGCCACACTTTTCTACCGAGAACTGCCTCTCCCATCCCAAGAGGCTCTGGTGGGCTCTCATGATCTGGGGGTGCCCTGCCTGCTCCTGACCACAGACTGTGCAGACAGTTCTCCCCATATTTTCTAGGGGCGTTCACATGACTCAGGCAAGACCTGAGGCCCCGGGAGCCCAGGGTAAGTTCTGATATGTGGATGTGGGGTAGAGGGGCCTGCAGAGGCCCAGACTACCACAGGGCATTTGCCACCTCCTGAAGGGTCTCCTAAGAAAAGCAGAGCCCACAGATGAAGGGAGACCATACCTGGTGGACTTCCTTGGGCCAATACCCTTTTTCCTGCATGGGATTTCTGTCACTAGCCATCAAAAGCCCTGGCTTGTTTAGACATGAGTCACCTGTAAGTTTGGTCAGCACAGGTCAGTCCCCAGGACCTAGACAGCCTGGCAGCTTGGGGCTAGGCTACCTCCCTGGATATTGCCCCAGAAGCCCTCATGGGGTAATCTCACACTTTCTCTCTGCCTCAAAAGTCTACTCTAACCTTGTGGGACTAGGATTGCTGAACCCCAGCACATAGGGGGCTGTGGGGTGGGCAAGTCCGGTGGTCCCCTTGGGCCTGAGTTTTCTAAATTTGAGCTCTGGTGCTGCTAGTGCTGCTGGGGGCTGACCAGAGCAGGACCTGACACAGAATCATGCTCCAAGCAGCAAGAAATATACATACATCTTCTCCCACACACAACCTAAAGGCACATTCTCAAAGCACATTTTTTACCCAGAACCCAATGTAGTTAAAAAATGAGCGAGACACAGATCAGAGACCCCTTGCAGGAACTGGGAACCAAGGATGAAAGCATTTCCATAAAACCAATTCATACCCAATCTGAATAGGACATTCTCATGGGGCTGATGACAAAATCTGGTGGGTTGGGAGAGAAATGCAGCCAAAGGCATCTGGGTCTCATTCGTTCACCCTCCTGAGTAAGTGCTGTGAGAGGGAAAAGCCCTCACTCACCAATGCATGGGAGCCTCCCGGGGGGCCCTGGGCACACCCAGCGGCTGCATCTCCGGACCTTCCTGGCACCCTCAGCACCCTGTGGTGTCTGGCTGACCTGCCTCAACTGGGCACTGGGATCACCAGGAGAGCTTTATCAGCTCTCAAGGATCACTCTGTCCTATGGAATCAGAACTCGGGGGATGAGGAGGAATGCTGTGCAGACATGCATGTGTACAGAGCAGAGATGACCATGGCTCAAATTTAGGAAATGTAGGCCCAAGGGGACCACCAGACCTGCCCACCCCACAGCCCCCAATGTGCTGGGGTTCAACAATCCTAGTCCCATTTTTTCAGCACACCCAGCTTCTGTTCATACTAGTACACATACCAACTGGGGTGGGAAGAAGCATTTGAGTGGCTCTAAAGCTGGACCCCTCCCCACTCCCACCAGTGACCTGCACTCCCCAGGGAGGGGGAAGGGGGCTCACAGTATCACGACTATTGCAGCAGTTGTTACCACTTGGACTCTGGACAAAGGTAAAGTGTGAAAGGCACAGGCCCACGGGAGACCACTGGGTTCACACCTCAGTGGCACCACTGCCACTGGGCAAGGGACTTCACTCTTCTAAGCACTGATTATCCCAACTGTAAAACAGGCTTAACAACAGAGCCTGCCTACCTTGGAAGGTAAGACTGAGGTTAAAAAGACAATGTACTTGTAAACACAGACACAGAATAAGCAGAAAAGAATCATTAGTTCTTATCATTGTTGAGTCACCTTCTCCCAGGTCAGGGAAGGTCTGGAGGGTCTGGAGGGAGAGGTGGGGGGGACACAGACAAAACCCACAGCTGCATCTCGAAGGATCAGATTCACTGTCAAATAACTGAGTATCAGAGGACTATTACAAGGGAAAGATTAAATTCTCAAAACTCTTACCTGCAGTGGTCAAAAGGTAAACGACGAAAATTTGTTTGTGGGATATCTGTTTAAAACAAAAATAAGAGACAGAAAATTTATTCTGTAAAAAATTTCACCTATGTATTCTATCAACAGTTCAATTACATTTTAAGAAAAAGTTCACGTAGCCCAGCCTGCGTGGCTCAGTGGTTGGGTGTCAACCTATGAATCAGGAGGTCACGGTTCAAGACCCAGTCATGGCACGTGCCCGGGTTGCGGGCTCAATCCCAGTGGGGGGTGGTGCAGGAGGCAGCCGATCAATGATTCTTTCTCATCATTGATGTTTCTATCTCTCCTCCCGTCCTCTCTGAAATCAATAAAAATATATTTTTAAAAAAAAGAGAAAAGAAAAAGCTCATGTAAATTACCTAGTGCAGCAATTGCTTCGGATTAAAAACTTTCGATATAACCAAAGCACATGGGATACATCAGGAAAGAACTTAAGAAAAAAAAGTACACACCACATACCTCAGAGATACTGCGAACTCGATTCCAGACCACCACAATAAAGCAAATATTGTAATAAAGGGATTCAAAGTTTTTGGTTTCCCAGTGCTTATAAGAGTTATGTTTATACTACACTATAGTCAAGTGTATAATAGCAAAATGTACTGTAGATATATACCTTAATTAAAACATGCTTTCTTGCTAAAATTATTAACCATCATCTGAGCCTTCAGTGTGTCATAATCTTTTACTGGGTGGAGGGTCTTGCCTTGATGTTGATGGCTGCTGACTGATCAGGGTGGTGGTAGCTGAAGGTTGGGGTGACAGTAACAATTTCTTAAAATAAAACAACAGTGAAGTGCGCCGCATCGACTGACTCTTCCTTTCATGACGATTTCTCTGTAACTTGCAATGCTATTTGACAGCATTTACCCACAGAACTTCTCTCAAAATTGAAATTAATCCTCGTAAACCCTGCCACCATTTTATCAACTAAAGGTATGTTAATATTCTAAGTCCTGTGTTGTCACTTCAAAAACCACTTTTCTTTCTCATCCGTAAGAAGCAATTCCTCATCCATAAAGTATTATTATGAGATTGCAGCAATTCAGTCACATTTTCAGGCTCCACTTCTAGTTGTAGTTCTCTTGCTATCTCTACCACATGTGCAGTTACTTCCTCCACTGAAGTCCTGAAGCTCTCAAAGTCACCCAGGAGGGCTGGAACCAACTTCTTCCAAACGCCTGTTAATGTTGATATTTTGACTTCTTCCCATGAATCATGAATGTGCGTAATGGCATCTGGAATGGTGAATTCTTCCCAGAAGGTTTTCAGTTTACTTTGCCCAAATCCATCAGAGGAATCACTATTTACTGCAACTATAACCTTATGAAATGAATTTCTTAAATAATGACTTGCAAGTCAAAATTACTCCTTTGATCCATGGGCTGCAGAATGAATGTTCTGTTTGCAGGCATTAAAACAACATTAATTCCATTGTACATCTCCATCAGACCTCTTGGGTAACCAGGTGCATTATCAATAAGTAGTGATATTTTGAAAGGAACCTTATTTTCTGAGCAGAAGGACTCAACAGTAGACTTTAAATATTTGGTAAGCCATGTTGTAAGCAGATGTGCTGTCTTCCAGGCTTTGTCATTCCACTCACAGAGCACAAGCAGAGTAGATGTGGGATAATTCTTAAGGATCCTTGGACTTTCAGAATGGTAAATGAGCATTAGCTTCAATTTCAAGTCAACAGCTGCATTAGTCCCTAAAACAGAATCAGCCTGTCCTTTGAAGCTTTGAAGCCAGACATTGACTTTTCATCTCTGCCTATTAAAGTTCTAGATGGCATTTTTTTCCAATGTAAGTATGGTGTGTCAAGTAGTAGCACTGCTATCACCTGAAAGCTGGTTGGACATGCAGTCCCAGACCGTCTGAATTAAAGTCTGCATCATTTTAACAAGATCTACAGATGATTCATACTCACATTAAAGTTTCAGAGACCTTAGTACACTTAGCCTTCAGAAGACATTACTGACCCAACAGAAGATATTACTGTTATTTTCAATTATAGAAACCAAGACAACGATTTTTCTCAAAGGAAAGATGGGCTAATGTATTAAAACAATCTATGGGGGGGGGGGGGGGGGAGAAAGCAAACAAACAAAAGCCCAAGTCACCATAACAAATATAATAAAAAAGTCTGAAATATTGCAAGAATTACCAAAATGTGACAGAGATACAAAGTGAACAAATGCTGTTGGAAAACTCACCCCCAGACTTGCTCAAAAATAATGTCTGCAAAGTGCAATAAAGTGAAGAGCAATAAAATGAGATATGCCTGACCTTATTATCTTGATAGAGAAAAAATGTTATTTTAACCTACATTAATAAAAACACACCAAGATTGCCCAGCCAGTGTGATTTAGTGTCAACCTAACAACCAAAACGTTGCTGGTTCAATTCCCAGTAGGGGGCGTGCAGGAGACAACCAATCAATGATGTTTCTATCTCTCTATCCCTCTCCCTTCCTCTCTCTCTAAAAATCGATAAAAACATATTTTTTAAAAAATATTTTATCCGCCCGGCCAGCGTGGCTCAGTGGTTGAACGTTGACCTATGAACCAGGAGGTCACGGTTCGATTCCGGGTCAGGGCACATGCCCAGGTTGCAGGTTTGATCCCCAGTGTGGGGCATGCAGGAGGCAACCGATCCATGATTCTGTCATCGCTGATGTTTCTCCCTTCCTCTAGGTTGCAGGGATCCCCAGTGTGGGGCATGCAGGAGGCAACCGATCCATGATTCTGTCATCGCTGATGTTTCTCCCTTCCTCTCTGAAATCAATGAAAATATTTAAAATATATATTTTTTTTATCCAAATTAGAAAGGAGGAAGTAAAACTCTCATTATACACAGATGACATGATATTGTACAAAGAAAACCGTAAAGACTCCACCAAAAAACTACTAGATTTAATAAACCAATTTGGCAATGTAGCAGGATACAAAATCAAACCCAAAAATCAATGGCTTTTTTTAAAAAAATATATTTTATTGATTTTTTACAGAGAGGAAGGGACAGGGATAGAAAGTTAGAAACATCGATGAGAGAGAAACATCGATCAGCTGCCTCCTGCACATCTCCTACTGGGGATGTGCCCACAACCCAGGTACATGCCCTTGACCGGAATCGAACCTGGGACCTTTCAGTCCGCAGGCCGACGCTCTATCCACTGAGCCAAACCAGTTTCGGCTCAATGGCTTTTTTTTAAAACACCAATAATGAATTCTCAGAAAGAGAAACTAAAACAATCCCATTTACCATTGCAACAACAAAAATTAAGATACTTAGGAATAAACTTAACCAAGGAGGAGAAAGACTTGTACTTGGAAAACTACAGGATGTTGAAAAAAAGAGATAGAAGAGGATATAAACAAGTGGAAGAATATTCCATGTTCACGGATTGGCAGAAATCAACATCATTAAAATGTCCATACTACCCAAGGAAATCTACAGATTAAATGTAATCCCTATTAAATTACCAACAGCATATTTCACAGATCTAGAAAAAATACTCCAAAAATTTATATGAAACCAAAAAAGACCCCGAATAACTGCAGCAATCTTGAGAAAGAACAAAGTTGGAGGAATCACAATACCAGATTTCAAGTTTAACTACAAAGCCACCATAATCAAAACAGCCTGGTACTGGCACAAGAACAGGCATATAGATCAATGGAACAGAACAGAGACCTCAGAAATCGACTCAAGCCATTACGCTCAATTAATATTTGACAAAGGAGGCAAGAGTATACAATGGAGTCAAGACAGTCTCTTCAATAAATGATGCTGGGAAAATTGGACAGATACATGCAAAAAAATGAAACTAGACCACCAACTTACACTGTACACAAAAATAAACTCAAAATGGATAAAAGACCGAAATGTAAGTCGGGAAACCATAAAAATCCTAGAAGGAAACCATAGGCAGTAAAATCTCAGATATTTCTCATAGCAATATGTTTACAGATACATCTCCTAGGGCAGTGGTCGGCAAACTCATTAGTCACCAGAGCCAAATATCAACAGTACGACGATTGAAATTTCTTTTGAGAGCCAAATTTTTTAAACTTAAACTATATAGGTAGGTACATTGTTATTAACTTAATTATGGTACTCCTAAGCTGGCCTTTGCTAAAAACGTCCTCAATCTGATTGAGGTACGTTCGCTGAGGTCAACCCCTTCCAACTCTCCCATCCACACTCGTCTTGTATACTTGTTTCGTCTATCTCCTTTCCAAAAACCGACTTCTGCGCATGGGCCACAAAGTTTCAATCGCACTGTACGTGTGCACCCACACGTGGTATTTTGTGGAAGAACCACACTCAAGGGGCCAAAGAGCTGCATGTGGCTCGCAAGCTGCGGTTTTCCGACCACTGTCCTAAGGCAAAGGAAACTAAGAAGAAAATAAACAAATGGGACTACATCAAAATAAAGCTTCTGCACAGCAGAAAAAAAAACCATCAGCCTTAGCCGGTTAGGTTCGGTGGATAGAGCGTCAGCCTGCTGACTGAAGGGTCCCAGGTTCGAATCCGGTCAAGGGCATGTACCTTGGTTGTGGGCACATCCCCAGTGGAGGGTGTGCAGGAGGCAGCTGATCGATTTTTCTCTCTCATCGATGTTTCTAGCTCTCTATCTCTCTCCTTTCCTCTCTGTAAAAAATCAATAAAATATATTAAAAAAAAA